AGATATGCCACGACCAAGAGTCACATTCACAGAGGTCCAAAGTGAGAAAGTCAGGACGCACGAGGCAATCTAAAGAAAAGAAAAAAATCAGTTTACGTCACCTGAAATGACAGAGCGCAGGTCAGACTGTCACTGCAGCCTGATGTGCTGGTTGTTTGCTGTCACGGTTCAGAGCTGAGTAGTGACGTCTGTGACTGTTTTTTCTTTGTTAGAAAATGAGATGCTGCTGCCTCTCTGTAATTTTCCCACTCAATGCTAATTTTGCTGTGTTCCTTGTTTACAATGTGACTCAATAAAAATGTGAATAGATGTTGTTTTGTTTTTTTTTACTTTTTTTCTGTCACCGTCAGCCATTTTAAAATAATGTTTCACAAGAGCTTGTTGATCCATGAGCGCTGCAGTGCCATTAGCACGGCAAATAGAAAAAATTCCATGTGTTCAGCATTATCCCAACCTGCAGACAGGCACACCCGAGCGGAAACCTTAGGACGTTCTTCGCTCCCATCTCCATCTAATTAATTGTCAACATTATTGCTGCAACTGTATTTTTACAGACTGACTCACTCTACACAATGTGAACGCAGCCACCTTTTCTTTTTCTAAACATTTATGAAAATATGGAGAAACAAACACCAAATTCTCTACTTCTACTTGGCCAGGAGCAGAGTTCCAACACTTTTAGCTAATGGTTTTCCATTTTCTGGTCCACAAAATTCTGTTTCTAGTCACAGCAGGAAGCCATTTCAGGAAAGAAATAATGAAAACTGAAGATGGGAATCACCTGCCTGGCACTAAATGACAGAGCTAACATGGTCCTTTTATAGAAACAGCAATAACCAGCAGTTGAACACCTGAATGGTAAGATATTGACATGAAAAAGGAGCTGAGGAAGAGTAACAAATGTATCATTTACAGTATCAGAATCAGACACTTATTTTTCAATATATTTTTCACGAAAACGCGTATAATCGTGTTTTTGTTTTAATAGCCAATCATAAATTTCAGCATCATGTGTTGCTAGGTTAAAAGTTTCTTCAACCAATCATATTTTCAGTTGGCTTCAAACTGACTTATCGATATGACGATTTGATTGGATGGTCAAAAAACACAGTCTTGAGTGTAGCAAGCTGCGTCGAGCATGGACTTGACCGAAGGAAAAATAAGTTTTCTCTGCGGCCACTGTCGAACGGACATTCTCAGCTATTAGCGATTTAAAACTTATGTAATTAACACGGCAGGACAAACTGAACTTTCATCGTGGATGACGATGGAAAATGACCTCTTGTGAGAACTGCATCGCACGGCTAGTCTGTACGACGGAGTGAATTGAACTCATGCAAAGTAAGGGAGTAAGGACTTTGTGTACAACTAATCCGACGTTTTGGTGAGTAAAACGCGATTTTTCTTTTTAATTATATTGTAATTTTGTGTTTTATTTATGCTTTTTGACGTATATTCTGTCACAGCTGGGGATGAATTGTGCTTCTTGGGTTTGTTGCTTTAATAATGGCGTTAATGTGACTACAAACGTTTGCTGGGACATAACCACTCGTACGACCACACTTCTTTATAAATAATAATGGTTTCTATAGACATAATTTCGTGATTAATATATTGATTTAATCAGGAAGAACGCAACTAAGTAAGTTTGAGTTGTCAAATCAAGTCATAGCGTAGTGCCTGCCTTACATGCAGAAGGTCCTGGGTTCGAGCCCCAAAGGAATCACATACCTAATGAAAACCCCGAGTGGCAGACTGTGTGCGTTCAAAGACTCAGTTTCCCGGTTTTAGCAACATATTTATGGCAAAAACTGAACCAAAATTGAACTAGAAAGCTAATGAAATTAGCTCAGAGTATTAAGGCCACATTGAGAATAAATATAATACCATTTTGGGATTTAAGTCATACGTTTTTGAGAATCAAGTTGTAACGTTACAGAGTAAAGTAGTATAATCATGAGATTGAAGTGGTACATTTAGATTATGTTTGGATTAAACAGTAAGATCACTAGTGTCTGGAGAACAAAAATGGTGAATCTATCATTCTCTCGTATTTGGTGAAAAAATAAGGAGATACACCATCTTTAGGCTCGTATTTGGTGAAAAAATAAGGAGATATTAAGGAGACACCATCTTTAGGGTCATCAACATCACATCGAAATAAACCTGGGGACATTAAAAGGGTGGCCCAAGAAACCTTGTTTTTATGCCTTTAATTTCCTAATTTTCTTTTTTTTAATTCTCAATGTAGCCCTATTGCGATTTTTTTTATTTTAATTTTAATACTACATAGCTGGAATTGGTTTAAACTACCAATATATATATATATGTATTTTAAATTAGCCAAAGGAAGACAGTTACTCAGACAGAAAAATTGATGAACATATTTGCAGGCTCAAATACAAGACTCAAATTTGACCCAGAAGTAGAGAGAAATACTTTTTATGTCTAGAGCCAATAGATTATATGACAATGTTTCAGACACAGATTACACGGTTTCTTATTTCTTGTCAGTCCATTCAGTCTCCTTTTGTCTAACTGGCCCCACAAAAAAATGAAATCACTGTAAATGAGTTTTCCTTTAGCACATTGTGTTGCATATTGTTTGATATTGAGCTGTTTTGCTTCCACTGCATGTCCAACTACGGCCTCTTTCACTGAGGGGAGTCAGAATGAGTCAAATCACTGAAGTACAATACAAAGAGACAAGTGCTGATTCGAAACACTTTTTCTACTCAACATCGTACTAATTTTAACAAAGACAGGTTTGTGGAGCAAATATTAATCTGCAGATATGGATTTGTTTTTTGCCCTGAACTTTCACTCTATGCTTACATTTTCTCTCTGACCGGGAGACGAGGCAGTGAAGTAGCTTTAATCCATCAAACCCTGGGGTTAATTGCGCTCAATCCTGCATCTCCTTTATCAACATTTCCGCGCTTCCCAAATGAGTTCATTAGCAATTCTTTGCAATGCTCCTATAGTGTCTTAATTGAGGGTAATTAACTGAAGTGATGGTGTTAGTGGACTGGCGGACAAAGCATCAAAAACCTCGACTTAAAAGTGCAACGTAGGATACATGTCATTAATGGTGACACTTGAGAATAAACCAAGCAGAGCTCTTATTGTGCTTGGGCTTGGGATGAGGACGAGGAGGAGTGTGTTTGTTTCATTGAAACATTGTTATTTTTTGTTGTTGTTATTTAGGTAAGTGGGATAATTGGCTGAAGGGAGAAGGGTCGGAGGGCCAGATGTGGCCAGTGGGCTGTACAATGCCAGGTTCTTATTCTGTCCATTGTTAATGCGTTAAAAATATGGATCTGCTCAATTTCACAAACTAATCAACAAGATTACAACAAGACTAATAATAACGTACGATTCGAGATGGTTCTGGTAAAAGAGGCTAGTCAGTGATGGGGAGGGAGAAAGTGTGGACTTGGTGAGATTCATTAATGTGATATGAATGTGTACAGATGCAGAGGAGCATCATCATAATGTTCCCCCTGCGGCCTGCAGGCCTGGAGCAACATAATGAGGGGACGTTTCAAGGCAAGTCTGAGGCAGGCTTTTATAAAGGGCTGCCTCAGAGGAAACATTTTCAGCCTAATCTTACACATACAGAGTGTGTGTCTGCCTCCTGGACCTGAACTGGAAGATAGTTTCATAGAGAGAGAGAGGCCTGTCAGCTGAAAGCTCTGCCGCTCTCTTTCTAATTTTGTACTCTAACCACCTGAAAGTGAGGCGTTTAACTGAAGAGAAGTTCTTTAGATTTGTTGGTACTGGGTGCCGAGCAAAGTCGTCATTGTAACTGTGGTGCTCACTGATGCCTCCTGTTGATAAGAGATTCCAATAGTAGGTCTGAGATTTCTGCATCTTTGTCAGAAAGAACATTTTGTAAAAGTGCATAAGTTGTGGTTGGTTTTGATATGAGAGAAATCCTGATCAAGAAAATCACGATTTCTCCCAGCATTGCCGCAGGGCGTCAATCACAAGATTGCACATTTTGTGAGGTCCTAAGACGCGTGAATTAACTTGAATTGTGTTTGACTGAAATTCAAGCAATTTTCTGTCATTTGTGTAATCAATACAAGAAAAGAAACAATCTTCTTTTAGGCCTAAATCACAGGAAAGCACCCGATTTTTAGTCTGATAATGGCTCACTGATTAGTTTTACACGCCGCAGCTAATCGACCCTAATCAGCTTCTGGTCGTCAGTCACTGATGTGAGATGCAAAGGCAAAGACAAACCTTTTGAAAATCCAACAATGCAGCACAGTCATCTATTCTTGTAGGAATTTGCAGGAAGATTGCCTTTTGTCTGCAACGATTAAAGAACTCTGGCCAATCAGAGACTATTAACGTGAACAGAATTCTTTTGTCCAGAGCTGGATTTATTTTACATTCCATCTGCATGCAAGCTATTTAACTGGAATCTGCGATATGAGCTATAGCCAATCACAGCAATCATCCAAGGTGTGGGGTTAAACCCTGGGCAGTTCTGGAGTCCACAGGGTCACATACAGTATATAGAAAAAACAACCAATCACAAATACATTCACACTAGGGCATCTACGCCTTCTGACTTTTTCATATCGACTTGTCTGACAACATAGACAGTACAGATTTTGTGAGTATTTCTTCTGTATTTTACCCAGTTCACGTTTTATATTATTAGCATATGTTATCCCTCGTTACCTTAGTTTTTTATTTTTTGTCTCTGTGAAAGAACTTTGACCTAACCTCCTGCAGACGAAGCAGGAACTGACCAAAAGTTCTCAGACTGTGGTTACGATCCCTAATTATTTCTTCACAACCAGTGAAAGCGCAAAATGTGAAACCAGCTCTTCATATGCAAAAAAGTTGGCAGGCAACATCTGAGAAACTTCTCAAAAAAAAAAAACTGGACCGAGTTTCTGCCTAAGCAGCGGAGCGTAAACACCTTCTGCTCCCGGTATATCATCAGGTTACCAGGCCGCATTCAGAACCTTTTATGGGAAATGACAGACAGGGTTTGCGAGTCATAAAAATGCTAATATTTTCTTTCTTTTTTTTTCTATCGGACCCTCTCTCGACTGTTGTATTGTGTGGCCAACAAGAACAGGCTGCAAATTGGAAGTGTACGGCACAACGAGGTTTGACTCGACCCTCCGACTCTTTTCATTCTTCTAATTAAATCTGACCTGCGACTAGCCCCGTCAGATGAGGTAACGGTGGGGAATGAAGTGGAGAGCAGGGAGTGGGAGGTGGTGGTCTGTACTGGTGGTGCACATTATCAGAGGACTGTGATGTAAACTGGTGTGAGATCAAAGATTTTCGGCGGAGTGCGGCACCCGCTTGTCTCTAAACAGTATGAGATTGAAATTGATTATGCCAAGTGAAGCAAGACAGTGCAAAGGAAATTGGAAATGATTGCTGGATGGTGAAGCAGAGAAAAAAAAACTCTGAACATGTACATCATGTTATAAAGATGCTAAAGCATTTAGACAAAGTAATTACTGAGCGTTATGGCTTGAAATCAATAACAATTAGAATGAAGAAATTATAATTACCCCTCCGCAATTACATTGGCTTTCACACATTCATTTTCACAATAGGTTTATAGAGGAATATAATCATGGGACTGCACTGGTGTCATGGGAGGAGGTTGGTGATTAAATGTTCTGATTAAAGCTGTAGTGTAGCTGTAGCCATGTATTCTATGGTGATTGATATTTATATTTGCAAAGTTATGGATCTTTTTACTTTTCGCAGTTTGTTCTCCTTTCTGCTAATCTTTAGCTACTTTTTGGGCTAAACTAATTTCCAGCTGAAATAAGACACGAAAATAAGACACAAAAGTGTGCTAATATTTGGCTAAATGTACCTACATTTTATGAGGAATTTTTCAGTTATTTTTTTACAACATTTTTGTTGTTTGTTATGCTAACTTTTAGATACAGTAGTTTTTGGCCACCCCCAAAGTGTCTGTCCAGAAAACATTTGGCCGTCAAATATGGTTGGTGACTCATTACCTAGAGAATGAGATAATGTAGCGTATGCCTATAGCTAATTATATTTAATGCCTAAAAGATGCCGGTGGATGGAGTTGTATTCATTAATGAAAACATTCTTTGCTCTCCCAAGTCTTAACTATCACCGTGTTTATATAATGAAGCTTCACAGAAAGTACATGTAAAAATAATATAATTTCTTGTCCATGTAAAAAGTTCCAGTAAAATTATTTTGGCTTTAAGCATTCAACTACAGACATTTATATATTTCTCTAATCTCCAGTTGCATTTTTGTTCTGCTCTGTATCGACATTCTGAAATTCAATTTCCTTTCCTTTAGGCTATGTCTGATGTCTGAATATGTGTGAACTTGGAGAGATATGTTTTCCAAGTA